AGTGCTCAACTGTCGTGTTGAGCACTTGGAAGTGTTTATCTAGTAGTTGAACACTTGGAAGTGTTGAACAGTTGAACACTTAGTTTAACAGTGTAAGACCTTGTAAACGGGAAACCGGAGCCCTCCGGGAATTCCCAAAACGGCCTGAATGAATTCTTCGGGAAATCCCAACAAATTTTTAACAGTGTATCATTTGGAATCAGAACCCTATCATGTAATAGCTCGTTCGACGCTGAACTTTGTGAGAAATGATTCTTAACACTTTCCGTGCGGAGCCTTTTTTGAAATCCACCTCCTTTCCGTGCGAGGGGTCCACACCCATGGACCCACCATAAAGTTTCCATGTCCTGCCATGAGTCCACCCTAGGAATCTTAGAGTCCTCAGATGAATATTAAAAGTTCCGAAAATTAGTGAGGTCCGCACGGAAGGGTCTATTTCAGGGGGTCCACGGGTGTGGACCCCTCGCACGGAAAGTGTTAATCTCAAAATATGATTGCATATCTGGACAAATATTTCGAAAAAACGAAATGTTTAGTGCCTTTGCTACTTTAGTGCCTTTAAAACGTAGGAATTCCTACCTCCGTTTAACCAGTGAAGGAGCCGCGTGTAAGTGTACTGAACAAATCAAATTGATGCATACTCTCAAAACCCAACAGTGTGCATTGTACACGGTATATGATATGCAGTGTGCACACCATGCACACTGCAAAATGTAAATATTCCAGTCAGTCAGCAAGGTGCATAACCATAATACCAGAAGTAAAAATAAGGGTATGGCAGTCATTTTGACAGTACAGTCGACCTGACACTTGACACACGATAGTAGGGTATGCGATCTATTAGAAACAGTACTCTGCCGAACGATTTGTTGTGCCCGCAACAGTGTGTATGGCTATGCACACGCGAAATACAGTGTGCATGGTAATGCACACGCTAAATACAGTAGGCATTGAAATGCACACGCTAAATGCAGTGTGCATGGTGTGCACACTGCATATAACGTGTACAATGCACACTGTTGGGTTTTGAGAGTATTCGTACCTTAAATTGACTGTCTCCTTTACTCAGAAGATCGTCGACGCTAGGGCGAGGTGTAGTACCTGTAACGGAATGAAAAGTAATTTAAAGTTGGGAAGCACACATAAAATAGCGTTCCGCTGGGATACAAAAAGAGTGTGATCTACAAAGGAATATTTCTACATGAAATGTAGCGCAGGGTTGTTACAAGGTTGGGCTTTTCAAATTCCCTGACATTTTCCTGATTTTTCCCTGACCAAATTCGAGCTTTTCCCTGACATTTTCCAAAAAAAATTTCTAATTTTTCAAATTTTAAAAAAGTAGTCTACGACAATTTTTGTAAAAAAAATCAGTCTAAGGGCAGGAATGCGACGAAATATCGTGAATCTTTCGGTTTTCCCTGACGCAGTGACCAATTTCCCTGACATTTCCATGATTTCCCTGACAAGAATTTTTTTCATTGTGTACAATGGAGCATCCCCCGAACAAAACGCGCATGCGCACCGCCCCCACACTCTCAGATCCTGTATGGAGGTTTTTGTTTGTTAGCTATCAACGTATTTGTGCAATGATAGTTAAAAACAAAATTGTTGACTTGTATCAACAAATTTGTTGGATAGTTATCAACAAAAAAAATTTGTTTATAAGAAAGATTGATAACTATCAAGACTTTTGTACCGAGTTAGTGAGAAATTCGTTTATACTTATCATTGCACAAATACGTTGGTAGTTTGTAAACAAAAACATCGCTAAAGGATTGAGGGTGCACCAGCCCCCTCCTCCCCCCTCAGCTACCCTCAGCCCGAGCACATTGTCTCGGCCAAGGCGGTGCGGCGGTGCGAGGAAGGTGGGCCACCCTGACCGCAGCCCGGACCGAGTACGGGGTCCCGCTCACTATAAGTCTCCTGCACCCTCAATCCTTTAGCGATGTTTTTGTTTACAAACTACCAACGTATTTGTGCAATGATAAGTATAAACGAATTTCTCACTAACTCGCTACAAAAGTATTGATAGTTATCAAGAGTCGCTACGAACTGCAATTCAAACAAACTGCGTTTA